CACACACACACACACACACACACACACACACACACACACACACGAGCATAGTCTGTGGGTTCTGTGTGGCCATTGTATTGAATTATTGAACCCAGCAAAGAAGCTAGTGTGTTCTGTGGGAGGGTGGGCTAATGTCAAAATTGGTAAAAAGATTTCCAAAAGGAGATATATTTGACTTCCATCCCAGAAGCCAGCCTGAGGTGTTGATGTTGATAATGATTCGCCTTCCACCTTATAAATGTAGAAAAGGGCAGATGGTTGCTGCCATGTTGGCTTTACATATGAGTATATATGCAGTGAGGTATACACAAGTACTCATGTATACATGTACCTGTGGACTTTGGTGGTGGTGGGTGAATGCCACCCAGTCGGTTCCGACTCATAGTGACCCTCTGTACAACAGCATGAAACATCGCTCTGTCCTGCGCTACCCTCACACTTGTTCTTATGTTTGAGTCCATTGTGGCAGCCACGATGTCAATCCCTTTTTGGTGGTCATCCTCTTTATCACTGCCCCATGATGCTCATCTCCAGGGACTGGTCTTTGCTGATAACATGCCCACAGTATGTGAGACAAAGCCTTGCATCCTTGCCTCTAAAGAGCGTCAGGTTATACTTCTTCCAACACAGAGCTGTTTGTTCCTTTGGCAGTCTGGTTCTTTCAGTAGCCTTCACCAACACTAAAGTTCAGATGCATCAGTTCTTCTTTGGTCCTCCTTATTTCGTGTCCAACTTTCAGTGCTATGGCTGGGGCCAGGTGCACCTTAGTCCTCAGAGATGATGGGGAAGCTCAATATCAGCAGCTAAAACCAAGCCAGGGGCTGACTGGAAGAGGCCATCAATTGCACATATTCAGATTGAAGCTAAAGAAAATAAAAACAAGTCCAGGAGATCCAAAATATGACCTTGAGCCTGTCTCAACCCGAATTTTGAGAGCATCTCATGAACTGATTTGATGCATTGAACACTAATACCAGAAGACCTTAAAATCAGGAAAGGACATTTCAAGATCTATCTTGAAGTGCAGTGCTATCTGTGATGAGTTAATATCCGCTTTCAAGGAAATCCAATCAATACAACTCCTATACACTAACCACTAAAGCTAGTAATGAAGAAATTGAAGAATGTCTTCAATCTGAAACTGATCAAATGTGTAATCAAGATGCATAGTTAATTAATGATAGTGGGAGTGCAAAGGTTGGGAACACAGAGGAAGGAGTAGTAGTTGAAGCTATGGCCTTGGTGATAGAGATGAAGCCGGAGACCCATTGATGGAATTTTGCAAGACCAAAGATCCCCTCAAATACTTTGTCAAAGTAGTCAATACTTTGACTACTTTCTCTAGTTCAGTAATTCACACAAAACTCCAGAGCAAATCTTTAAAATGTAGTTTTATTAGAGTACAAAAGAATACAAATCAAAGCCAGTCAGAGAGAGAGAGAGAGACACACAGAGTGGAAGTTTGGGAAGAGTCCCAAAAGCAAACCTTCCATAATTCCCAGGTCTGCTTCCCCCTCTCGGCCAGTCGATGTGAGACAGACAGTACAGGGCAGTTCCCTGGAGCATCGGTGTGCAGGTTGACCAAGGCTACTCTGGGCACGATCGTTGGCTGTGTCATGGAACGCAACCTCCAGTCCCGCTTCTCTTGCTGGAGGTGGTAGTGCCAAGTTCCAACCCTCTGAACGCACGGTTTCTTTCTGCCAAGGCCAACTTGAGTGAGTCCTTAGCATAAACTGTCAGGTGTGGTCCAGAGGGGCCTTCCATGAATAACGAAGATATTGCAGTCACTTGAAGTGCCAGGGAGTTTTGATGCTCTCTTCTTAGGAATCAGGGACCAAGGCCAAACCTCCCTTTGGATAAAGTTAACTCTTTAGTGCACAAGACTGAAGGGGAGATTTGGCAGTGGGTTTGAATGGCTGGCAGCTCTGCTGTCCTCGACTAACCAAAGGCACCAAGAGGCACTTCTCAGTTTCCAGAGAAAGCCATAAGAGTAATGCCAGTGCTTTAACACCCTTTACTTCGCCCGGAGCTGCGCCACGCTCAGTGGTTCGCTTGCTACAACAGCCCCGATGGAGGAGGTTTCATTCTGTGTTCACAGTGAGAAAAACAAGGCGCAGAGAGGTTATTCCACACGTTCGCACATTAGAATTTTGTGGAGATCTTTTTAAAACATAAACACCAAGGCCTGAGTATCATCCTTAGTGATTTGGTAATGATTCCCCTATTCATGTTTTTAAATGCTCCTTGGGTACTTCTAAAATGTAGCCAGGGTTGAGAATCCTAGGCTTAAATCTCTCTCCAAGAACATGGTGCCAATAGTGGCAGAGATAGAATTTGAAATCTGGCCTTTTGTTGCAAGTTCCAAGTTTTTCTGTTCCTTTTTTTAAAAAAAAAACCTCCCTCGTTTTATTTCATTATGTCCTCTTACTTTACACGTGAGTGACGTGTCTGCCAAACACAGTTATCAGAGCCCATACTGGAAGTGAGGGTGGTGGTGTTGCTAATACCCAATCTGGCTTTCACAGTTTTTATTCTTTGTGCAGCTTCTGAGGTGCTCTGGTGATGCTGTCGGTTGCACATCGGACTGCTGACTGCAAGGTTAGCAGTTCAAAACCAGCAGCTGCTATGCAGATGAAATGAGGCTTTTCACTCCTGTAAAGATTTAGCCTCAGAACCCCACAGGGGCAGTTCTCTCTGGGGTCACTCTGAGTCAGTCATCTCGATGGCGGTGAGTGTGGGTGCAGCTTCTGGGGAAGTATGTATGAGCTGGTAGTCATACTCCCGAGCTTACATGTCATTTCTTGTGCCGCTTGCATGCCCTTCCAGATTGCCCATGCTCAGGTTTCCTGAAGGCATACACTCTCAGGGAGCCTTCACTAAGGCTCGTTAAGAATTGTAGGCCATAGAAAATGCCTTTGGCCAACTTCAGAGTTGTTTCTCTCTTTATGCATCAGTCTTTATACTCATCTGTAGTGAGTACTCTTGAAGGATGATAGTAGTTGAGCACAGTTAAAAGAAAGGCACACAAAGTTCAAGAAGGCATAGAGGATTAGGCATAGAGGATCATCTCTGTGCGACCCTTGGTGTTTCAGCTCCAGCTGTTTTTGAACTGGTTTGTGTCTCTCCCAAATGAAAATCCTGTGGTTAAGGGTTCTGGGTGATTAGTCGCCCCTCAGAGTTAAGGAAGAGCTGTTCACCAATGGGAGTTATGCTGGGCAGACTCAAACAGGTGATTTTTGAAAAGTCACACACAGTGTTGTGGGAGCGAGGGCCTGCCTACCGCTGGATTCCTCCGCACTCGGCAAGTGTTTGGTGAACGGCATTCCAGATCTACTTAAGTTAGGAATTGCAAGGCTGGGTCCTAGCCCTTGCCCTTTCTGCACCTTTGTAAAGCTTGCTGCCCTGTGTGCTCTGTCTCTGCCCTTCTCATCGTCCCTTCTCTCTGTGGTAGGTAATAGCTGGCTTTAACCGCCTGCGGCAGGAACAACGAGGCCTGGCGTCCAAAGCAGCTGAGTTGGAGATGGAGCTGAATGAGCACAGGTGAGAAAGTTGGGGGGAAGTAAACAGTGTGAGGGGGCTTCAGTAAGTTCATGTAAACAAGGAAATGAAAGGTAGCGGCGTTTTCCCATGAGCTTTTAAAGCCCCCTAGTGGGAGCGTTTATAGACGGCCATTTTGTAAGGGAGGGTTGCAGTCCAGTAGGACTGAATTCTCAGGTCCTGTCTTGTCCAACCCCAGCCTTGTGATCGATACACTGAAGGAGGTTGATGAAACCCGCAAGTGCTACCGCATGGTCGGAGGGGTGCTGGTGGAGCGGACTGTCAAAGAGGTGCTGCCCGCCCTAGAGAACAACAAGGAGCAGGTGAGCAGGGAGCCAGAGTAAGCCCGGCAACAAAAAGGTGAGGAAGAAGGGGGAGGGGGCAGGGAATATGGCGGAGGAACTCAAGTTGAAGACAACACAAAGAGCCTCGCACTTCCTTGGACAAGAAGAGTTGCTGGTCATCTGGCTCTTTTCATGGGCTCTGTGACCTCGGTAAGTGGGGTGGATACCCCCAAACCCAACCCACTCTTGTCAAGTCGCTTCTGACTCAGCAAGCCTGTAAGAGTAAAACGAATCTTCCTGGAAGCAGACTGCCGCATCCTTCCCCCATGGAGCAGGGGGTGGTTTTGAAGCCCCAGCCACCTCTTTAGTAGCTGAACACTTAAGCATTGTGCCATCAGGCTCCTTGGTCCGTGGATACCTGCATCAAAATCACCTGGCAGACTAATTTAAAATGTAGCAGTGTGATGGGCCCCAGGAAGGAGTGTGTTTCAAAAGCAGCCGCCCAGGTGATTCTAATGTACGCTGAAGTTTGTAAACCACTGTGTTTGAGAAAGGACCCATCTCAGTGGTCGCGGTGTGTTAGTAGTAGCTTGTTAAAGGTGTTGTTCATACCAGGTGGGAGAAGGGGTCCTGCAATCCTTACATAACCCCCTCTCTCACCCTCTAGATTCAGAAGATCATTGAGACACTGACACAGCAGCTTCAGGCAAAGGGAAAGGAACTGAATGAATTCCGGGAAAAGCACAATATCCGTCTAATGGGAGAAGATGAGAAGCCAGCTGCCAAGGAAAACTCGGAAGGAGCGGGGGCTAAGGCCAGCTCAGCCGGAGTGTTGGTCTCCTAGGGCAAGGCCTTTGCAGCTTTTCTACCCTGACGCCCACTTCTCATTGCTCTTTATTGTTGTTATTGTTTGCTCTGCTCTTGTAATATTTTTTTGTTAATTAAATGTTTTGGTCAAAATGCTTAGCTTGAGCCTGAAGCTTTCACACAGAATTAGTATGTATTGGTTGAATGATGCAGGGGACCGAGGTTCTGATGTTTCTACCAGGTTTAATGGCTCACAGTATCAGCGCAGTAAGACCCATACTTTGTCCTTTCCCTCACACACAATGATACATTTACTTATTTACCCTCCACCCAAAGATCTGGAGATACATGTTGACTCTAAGAGTGAACTTTAATAAGCATTTGGAATGAGACAAATAGCTCTGGTTATACTTTATGGGTTTCCAACAAACCCGAGGCTTCGGCGGTGTCTGGCCGCCATTCCTTAGACGAAGAAGTCCAAGACGCAAACCTGTGGACTCGCTGTCTTGCCATCCTCACCAAAACCCCCCACCAGGTACAGATGATCATTCCAAAGGCAGGTCCGATGACCCACGCGTTTCAGTCCCCGGTCGGCACAGGGGAAGTGGAACCACAGAGGAGGAGACTTGCCTGTTGAGTAGGGAGGGGCAGAGGGCAGTTAGGAGGCAGGACCGCTTAGATACCCGTGGGGCTCTTACCGAGACCTAACGCATTTCCATTATTTTTCTCCTCCCATGATTGGTGCTCCTCTTCAAATGTGTAATACTAGATGCATCTTGCCTACTAATCCTCCTCCCCACCCCATCACTCCATCCCGTCTTTCTGCAGCCTTCAGGTTCTCTTCCCTTCCCACCTGCTCTCCCTCAACCAGGAGAAGGCTGGCTCACGAGCATCATAGATGTAGAGGTCATTGCAGATGGTGTCCCTGGCTCTGGTCAGAGTTTCTCCACCAAACAGCACAGCAAAGGGCCCCACTACAGAACACGAGTGATGTCGTAGTCCCCGGGGCCCCTGCCAGGACCCCTGTCCGGTGCTCACAAGCCTTGCAAGCTGTTCCATCAAATGGGGGGCAACAGGTGGGTCTTCCTTGGGGGAGAAAGGAGTGTCTGAAGGAATTTTGGGATTACCGTTTTAGCCCCCTTGTGCCCTAATAGGGATGTGAGTAGATAATACCGTAATCTTCCCATAACTCCATTGCCCAGCTACTTCTGCATCAGCCGAGTTGCAGCCCCCAAAGAGCAATAACTGGTGACCTGGGTGGGCCCCAGCAGTTGGGAGCAAGGCAGCACAGTGACCTGAGCGTGAGGTTGTGTGGCAGCCTTCTTCCTTGTAGCTGTGGAAATGCAGAAATTCAGGCCTGAGTGGGGTTTGCTGAAAATGTAAGCCCTGCCTTTGTCTCATCCAGGGGTACAGCAAGTGTGATGAGTAGCAGAGCGATCTCTAAATTGCCCACCCCATCTCAAGAGGAAAATGACTACCCCACTTAGGCATCCGTCTCTGCCAGGCACAATTCATAGTTGTGGTACCTCAGCATCCCATTCTAGGCCTTGTTTGATACCCCTTGAGCTTGTGCCCAGAAGGCAGGTACCCCTTCTGCCCTGGTAAGTTCTGGATGTCTACTGAGTTGGAGGGAGGCCTGGGGTGAATGGAAACTGCACAGTGCCGACTCTTTCAAGTGGCACACAGGCATGTGTCATACCTTAGCGTCTAGTGTCCGAGGATCAGAAGGATGCATGCTGGGTCAGTCCGTGTAGCAGGACCAGGACGGAGGAGTGGGAAGGTAACACCAGGCCAGAGTTCTGCCTTTCCCACATGGTGGATAAGGAAGGGTGCTGGGTTGGGGTCAGGGGGTGTCATACCAATAGGTGCGGGCGCCAAGGTCCAGCTTTAGCGTGAAGATGCTTCCATAGCGGCGCTGTGTACGAGTGCCACCCTCCCGGCCAGCCACCCGAAGTTCCCGGTCGGAGAGGCGGGTGCAGGTGTGACTACTGAGGCCCGCAGGCGGGCAGTTGCCAGGGGCCGCGGTCCACGCCTCCCACATTCCACGCTCGGTGTCCAGGGCGACCACTGCTGCCAGCCGCCGCGACCCGTCCCAGCCGCCCACCACGCAGAGCCAGCGCCCGCCCACCGGCGCCGCGTCGTGGTGGCTGCGCCTCAGGCCGCCCTGGGCTTCCACCCTGACGGCCTGGCCCCTAGCAGGATCGAAGGCCACCGTATCGCTGCTGGGCTCCTTGGCGCCTCCGTCCAGGAGGCCCCCCACCAGGTAGAACCGGCCCCGCAGTTCCGAGCAGGAGCAGAATGCCCGCGCCAGAAGCGCGTCCCGCGCCACCGGCCGCCAGGCCCAGCCGGAGCCCCCCGCACCCCCAGGGGGCACTGCCACCGCCATGGGCCCTGGGTAGGGAGGAGGGCTGCAGAGTCAGTGCTCCTAAAAGCGATCCAAGCTCCTCGCCTCGTGTGGGTTCCCCTGGAAAGCGCCCCTCCACAGATGCCCAATTTCCCTACACCATCGGTGGCCCAGCAACCACTGCCCCGCCGCCTTGCGACCGCTGCAAACGGAAGGTCGCAAAGCACTGGCTACCATGGAGACAGGAGACCTGGGTAGCTGCCGGAACGCGTTCAGTCCGGTCGCTATAGCGACGGAAGCTGGACTAGGTCAACTATCCCGAAAGATTGTTAACCTTAGAAAAACAGGGCACATCGAGGGCGGACGGGAAGCAAACAGGGACTGTCCTTTTGGGTTTGTGAGGTTTCTAACTGGGACAGACCTTTTCAGAGATGAGCTAGCTTCGAAGGAGAAGCGAAAGTCAGGGGAAGCCGGCTGAGCACACTGGCCTTGTAGTCAGAGGCTCGGGTTCCAGTCCTAGCTCAAAGTGACCATTTCTCTAGATCTCCCGAGCTTTCTGCTGACGCGCTGTGGGATTGTTCTTTCACCTGCCACCACTAGAGGGTAGCAGAACCCAGTCTCAGGATACAACTTTAGCGTGTGTGTGTGTGTGTGTGTGTGTGTGTGTGTGTGTGTGTGTGTGTGTGTAGGGGGTGGTGGGGGCGGTGACACGAGCAAGACAAACTCCATTTGTTTTACTTTAAGCTTTTAAATATTTTTGTTTTAAACGTTGTTTTGAAGATGAGCAAGTGCAGTGAAAAAAACAAGTACAAGGTGAGGAACACAGAGCCATGTTATTTGTACAAGTCAACAAACTCTAGATGCCCACTGGTAGAACTTCTCAAACTACCAAACAGGGTCATTGACGCAAAGTTGTTCACTCACCTTAATGTATAAAAGCCCTACCGATGGCAGAAGAGCTTCAGAGCTTCTTCGAAGCAGAAAGGAGTCTTGAGAGTCCTTTCTTATTTCATCTTGCCTCATCACGTTCATGCAGCACAAGGAAACTGAGGTACTGAGGGAGTTGGAACTGGATTAAGGGCAGGGAGTTTCTCCTGATAAGATCCCCAGCTAGAAGTGGCCCATCCTTAGAAGCAGGATTGGGGTGAGGTGGGAGGAAGAGTGAGAAAAACAGATTCCTGCTCCTCCCTGATCTCTTCCTTTTTAGGTAAGTCAGGTTCCAGAGCTGTCTCTAACTCTCACTCTAGGACCCCATAAAGAATGAAACGACCCACATTCAAACTGCCTAGTTTCAGCTGCAGGGGGAAAAGGGGGATTTCTACTCCCAGCAGAATTGGGGCCGAGTGGGGACAGGACCTGCGGGACCTCTGGCTGAGCTACAAAGTGCCTGTGATGACTTTTGCCTTTGGGGTCTACACAGCATCTTGTCTCCATCATCCTCAGACAGAGGGAGGCTGTAGAGAGGGACCAGGCGGCAGTGGGCATGTAACCCAGGGATCTGATACCACAGCAGGGCTTTTTTTTTCTCCAGATCTCAATTCTAAGGGGCCCTGGTAGTGCTGTGGAGTAGGTGTTGGGCTACTAACCACAAGGTCAGTGGTTCAAATCCCACCAGCTGCTCTATGGGAGAAAGATGAGGCTGTCTGCTCTGAAGATTCAGTCTCAGAAAGCCATAAGAAGCAGTTCCACTCTGTGCTGTAGGGTCACTCTGAATTGGAATTGACTTGATGTCAGTGGACTTTAGATCCCAACTCTTGGTCCTTGGAGGAGGTGGGCAGGAAGGTGGGGTGAGCAAGGCTGGGAGGTTATCGGGAGCTGTTCTTCACCTGTACCTTAAAGCTGAGACCCAACAATAACCCACCCAACCTTATTTTTGTTGTCTGCAAATCTGCCTGGCAGGATCCTCAGTTTTCTCAGATCGCGGTAAATATCACTAGCCTCACCGCCACTGACATCTGAAAGCCAGTCCTCTCCCTAAGGCAACTGACTGGCTGGCTTCCCAACAGCTGGATTCAGATCTGTCATACTCCTAGGATTTAGGAGAGGAGCTGCCTGGGGGTGGGGCCCTTTTGCTTAAACCTTATTGGCCTAGATTCCCATTTTAGGCTCTTGTTTTTTGCTTAAGTCTTTGACTCTTCTGCCAGCCTCTCATTTTTCCCCTCTCTTGTATAGAAAAGGGAACTCCCCACTCCAGGGCCCTTCCCAGCTCCTCTCCCAGCTTTATTTTTCCTCTCCTCCCAGCCTCCACTCTGGCCGAGTGTCCTCAGCGATAGCAATCTCACTGGGGTATGGAGCCTGCACTCCATACACTTCTTGGCTGTACCTGCTCCTGTCTAGCACCACCTCCCGTTCCGCCGAAAAGCTAGAAGCTTCTATCCGTGGCCTCCCTTATTCTAGATGCAGGGGAGGCTTTGCCCATGACTCCTACTTGCCCTGGTTAATACTGAAGACAGAAAAGAAGTGAAGCTGGTGGTCAAGGAGGAGGAGAGAAAGAAAATGAGTCAATCTGCATTTGTATTCTTCAGTGGCTTCACTAGGTTCGAGGTTACCTGCCACCCCACCCACCCTCCATGAGCCTCCTCTTGTATTGGACCTTTTAAGGGAGTGTCAAATAATTGGTGGGAAAATGCCCTGATCTTTTCTTTCTGTTATTTCATGAACTTTTTAAAGATCCCTCATATGGTCTGGTACAGGAGGAGGTTTATTTTATCCATTTTAATAATAAGATGTGATAAAGTTATGTTTCTTTTTTAAGTTTTAGTTGTAAGTTTCTTAAATGCAATAGTTCTTAAATTATATGAATACTAATCATTGTTTTGTAAAATCTTTCTAACAGTATTAGTAACTAATTAGAATCCTTTAATTTTCTTTTTCTCTTTTCCCTTTAATGATTCCTTCACTCTCAAAAATGTTACTGACATAAGTTCACAAGCACTAATTACCCCACGATTGTAGTTGAAACACTAGGCATTTTTAAAAACAGTTTTACTGGCACTTCACATATCATGCAATTGAATAGTTCAATCAGATCAGGAAGAGTTGTACAATTATCACAATCAATTTTAGAACCTTTTCTTCTTCCTTCTGCTCATTGTTATTCATGTTACTGTTCTTATTCCTAATCATGGCAAAAATATATATACAACAAGACATTCTCCAATGCAACACCTTCCTCTTCGTGTATAACTGAGTGCCGTATTCTTCATGTTGGACAGTCAGTGTCAATCCCCTTTGCTAAATCACTCCACCACCATTAACGTAAACTCAATGCCCCTAAGCAACAACCCTGCCTCCTCCACCCATGGTAGCCATAGGTCACCACAGGTCAAGTTTGGGTCCTTTTCTTTCAGTAGCTTTTGTGATATAATATTCACATATCGCACACTTCCATAGCTAAATCCCTAATAAAGTAGTATATACACTATCACAATCAGTTATAAAGCTCCCTCGCCTTTCCCGCATTCATTGTTTGCTCCCCAATTCACCTCACACACACCCCTTCCCGATCAACCATTTTATCAGTTAGTGTCTCTGCATCCACTCCTCCTGTGCTTCATAAACTGGGAAACCTAACAGAAACAATAAAAAACAATAAGCCTAATGAAACACAAAGAAGAGAATAATGATGATGATAACATAAAGATAAAAATAAAAACAGTAAGAGAGAAAAGATCACCAACAATATGTTAAAAGCCAGAGGAAAAATTTCTGTCATGAAACAAGGGAGTATTTGCACCTAGAGCAAATTCAGGTTGGGTTAAAGGGAGGTCAACTGGCCAAGTAACATATGTTCTAAGTTTACAATAATCTCTGTCTGACTGCAAGGCCGAACCCTAGCTAGGACATTTGACAATACTGGGGCCTATGAAAACACCGGCACTGACAGAGACAGCAGCTTATGTGTCTGGCACGTGCAGACGAAAGCACGTGCTTGAAGCACCACTGTAACTGGGCGCTATGACAGCGCTGACAGGAGCACCTACGTCAGCAGTGAGTTTTAGCCTGTGGATATCCATCCATGTAAACTGGGATTATTGAAAATTGTTTCTACAATTAACTACAGAGATATTTTTTATCAAAAGTAATAAACTTCTGCCAGAATACTGCGCGCAACTTCTGAAGATAATCACCGCAGTGTCAGGCTGTCTGACAGTGTCCTTTGATTCAGACTTCAACCCCCAAGGGATGCCACTCATGGTTCCTACTGCAGGGGATCTGGGTTGAAACTTTCAATTCTTTTAATTCCATTTTCCACAAAGTGTTGACAGTCCCTTCATATAAAAATATGATGCAATAATTGAAAGAGGACTTTAAGATATAGGGAAAAGTGGAGCTGAGAGAAGAGTTCGAAAGGCAAGGAGCGAGAAGGGCAGCCAGGGCTCTTGGTTCTCTGTATCTGCTCCCATCTGCTAACAGTCTCCAGGGAGAGCCGCTGGGTGGGAGCAGGGGTGGGGAAGAGCAAAGTGAATGCCTCATAATTCAATACGTTGGTTTGTCTCACTTGGTGACTTCCAGCAAGCTTTCCAGGCTTGGATGGCTGTCCTAGCCCCAAATCTGTGCCTCCTTGCCCATAAACCATCTCTCTTGCCCTCAACTCTATCTTCTGGCTCTAGAGGCCTCTCTGGGTCTCTGCATTGTTCACTGCCCAAAGAAAGTCAACCCAGGGTCGTAGTCAAACTCGCAAGACTTATGTAATTTTGGGCTCGTACTAAATTCTAGCTCCAACTTAAGAACAATGCATTCTTACATCATGGCCCTGCTCGATACTCACCCTCAGGAAGGGAACACAGAGGGTACGGGTGCTAGAGCAAAATGTGGTGAAGCATCTAGGTGGTGCCCGGCCAACAGATAAAATAGCGTCTGGGGTCTTAAAGGCTTGCCTCCAAACAAGCAGCCATCTAAGAGAGATGGCATCTAAGTCCACATGGAAGGAACACACTGTCATCAGTCACCGAAGGATTGGAATCCATATCATCCGAAGTCGAAGGAGGGATCCGTCTCAGAGCCTAAATTGTGAGAATCTGGTGTCAGAGGTGATGGCTGACAGTGGGAGTCCAGGATTCATTTGTGGAATTACCGAAGAAATAAGCCTCTGGAGAAAGATGGGTTTGGGATCTCTGCGCTGACCTCCCTCCTTCTCCACAATATATTTTTGTTGTTTGGTTTCTGTTTGTTTATAGCAGAGTATATCTCAGAGGTGTTATGTCAATGGAGGGTACCCTCTTGAAGCTTTCTCTGCTTTTCCGTTTTTTGGTATATGAAACCCAGGATTGGTGAGCCTCTAGGGCCAGCAAGTAGAATAAGGGGCTGGGGCCAGGGGCATACAGTGGGGGGGGCGGGGGGGGGCGGAGGTAAAAGGGAGACGATGTCCAGGAGTCCATGTGAAAACAGAATGTCCAATTCTGCTTGACGTGACTGAAATATGGAATGAGATGTTATCTCTATCCAATCTCACTAAAAAAAACCCCAAAGACTCCGTAACCCTCTCTGCCTTCAGTCCCAGGCTATGTTGCCCTTCTCTTTGGCTCGTCTTCTGTTGTCCTCTGACTGTTTACATTCCTCCCACTATTTGTTCTGGCCCCATGCCTTCCTGATTCCATTTCTGGCTCCTTCCTCTCAGCTTTCTGCTCAGCCAGAATCAGGACATGGACAAGCAGGAAGGGAGATTGCAAGAGACCGGGCCTTGAGAGCCCCTCAGAGATGTCAGCAGAGGTTGAGAGAAAGGTGAGACTGTGAGCAGGGACTGGGGTTGGGAGTGGGAACCGGGTGAGTTCGAGAATGATGGAGCGAAGGGGGCAGCACTTGACTGGTTGAGGGACCCGGCAATGTTGGGTGTGAAGGAACAGAAGAAAGTGCTTGAGTGATCCCAGGGCGGGCAAGTGGCATCCAGAAATGGCTCTTCAGGTCTTTCTGCGTCCGTTTCAGATTTTGTCTCAGCCTCTTTGTCCTTTTGAATGCTTTCCTTGGCTGAACACTTATATCTAGTTTCTCGCTCTCTCCCTGTCGCTCTGTTTCTATGTTCCCATCTGTTTCACACTGCCCTTAGCCCTGCCTCCTGTCTCACGGTTCTCTTTTTCTTCTTGTTTCTTTTTTTGTTTACTTGTTTGTTTTTGCCCCTTTCTCTCTATAAATAGATTGCCGAGCAGAGCCAGCCATGGAAGTGTCCTTCGAGGAGCCCTCGAGCTCTCTAGGAGTGGCAGGCTTCCCTCTGGCTGTCTGTGAAAATTAGGGAACCCGTTTGCGGTACCTGGCACCATCACAGTGTATTCATTAAGGGAACCCGTTTGCAGTGCCTGGCACAATCACTGTGTAATTGATTAGGAAACCCGTTCGCCACCACAGTATATTGACCGTTGAGGAGGGCCTGAGGGGGCTTCAACCTGTGAGGCCTTTTCAGGGAGTAGGGATTTCCCCGCCGAAAACCTCAGGGCATGGAGACTTGGACCCATGGAGGGAGGCAGGTTTGAGAGGGAAGGCTAAACTCCAGTCTTTGTAACCCTACCCTTTCCTTAGAGCTCATGAACTTGCTAATCCTAATCAGTGAGGGACTCTTGCCCTATACCGTGAGCCCGAACTTTCCTTCTTTAGCAGGATTGAAGGAGAAATTGAGGCTTAAGAGGGTGGAGGCAGTTACTGGGGGCCTCTGTAAGGAAGGCGTGAAGTACACCTTGAAGAGTCTAGTGGAAGATGCTGGGAAGGGAGTCGGGGCCTGGCCTATTGGACTACCACCACAGGCTGCTCCCACATCCCTGTACTTCACTTCCTCCATCCTCATCTCAAAGTCTTCCAGCCCCCACTGCCTCCTGGGCCCAACAGGGGGTGCAAGACTTGTTCTAAACCTCCGGGGGCCATGACAGCAAAGCCAAGAACCCTGAGATGGCATTTTAATGGAGAAAATGAATTGGTTTGGGGGATTCAGCTATTTATCTTAGAACTTTTTTCCCTTAGGTGCACATTGGGGTGCTCTAAAAGATGTGAAGACTCGGGTTTTTGCTGTAGCGGATGGAAATGAGTTCTCAAAAAAAGGATAGACTCTAAGACTTCATATTTGGAGAACTAAAGGATTTGTAATCAACCATGCCAGTTCCTGCTGAAAGCTACCTGGATGGATACCCATGGAATAAGATTTTAATATAACTAACAAATAAATCTTCATAAAACATCTGGGGGGAAACCCCCAAAAACAACTAGTTGGCTTCAGCTGGCCTTGGAAGTATCTTGCTGCCCTGAACCTTAGATCCAACAAGAGGAATAGCCCAGGACTCCTACTTCCCCTGGTCAGTCTGTACCAAAGTCCATATTGTAGAGGACACAGAAAAGAAGCCAAGGATAAGGGAAGTGGAGGTGGAAGGAAGGAAGGAAAGAGAGAAAGACAGGAAACCAGCTACACTGCCCTTGGAACTGGGAGATCTGGTTACTGCTTTCAGAACTGGACAGAGGTAGTGCCTGGGCCCCTGGAACAAGGGCCCCTCCACAGCGGCCATCCTGCCTCACACCAGGGCAATGACACCTGCCTGCTGAGCCCTGGTGATGGCAACCAAGGGTGAGGCTCCTGGTTGGAGGTAGATTTGGGGTCCTGGTAAAAAGAGAAAGACCATCGGGGCTCACAGGTGGCTGGATGAACACTCATGGGCCATGTAGAAGGAAGATCATGCTAATGAACCTTAATAGGAAACCCGTCCTCAAATTACAGGTGTCCCCAGCTTCTGATCCCTTCCCCCCAGTCCCCACTTCCCTCTGCCTCTTTCCTCTAATGTCTTCTAGCTTCTTCAGCCATTCCCTTAGGAGCCCTTTAGCCCTTGCCCTCTCCCCTCAGGACCTCCCATCCCTGTCTGCTGGTAGCTCCCATGCCCTGGACCCCATGGTCTCTCTCTTGACCGATAGTCCCATCGTCCCAAGCCCAACGCTCAACTGTTGAGCCTCAGGAGGCTCTCCCTCAGGGAAGCAGGGTTGAGCAGTGGTAGGAGCTTGGGCTGAATGCCAAGAAGTGGCTCTTCAGTTTGGGGAGGACTCACCCTCCACATCCAAGCTTGGAGGCTGGAGTCACGGTGGGTGACTCACTGACTGTCATCTGAAGATGCCTTGGGGATGCAGGCTCTGCTGGATAGGCCACCCCTTCGGACAGGCCTCCAGCTTCCTGAGCAGGTAGGCTCTCAGAGAGACAGCCCTGGCTCGGTGGGAATGAGCGCGATGCTGGGGAGCACAGCCCAGCATCCCCACTATATCCAGTCTTCCTCCTCTTTCTCAGGACCCCACCCAACCATTGCTCTTGCCTCCTTGTTGTTGTATCTGCAGCTTATACTGTCACCGCCTGGTAGAATGGAGAGTCCCGTGTTGGTTCTGCACTAAAGCAAACTCAACCAGCGCCATCATAGTCACCCCATAGGTCTCAAAGTAGAATATCATTTTTCAAGGTTGTGACCTTTGGGAAGTAGGTTTCTTTTCTTGTCTGTGCCCCGCTGTTTCTCTGCGTGGGTTAGTACCATCCACCCAAAGGTTAGCACCCGGGGGCTTAGATTGTGCCTCAACCAGGGATCACTGCCTCTGGACTAGCCTGGACCTTTCCCAAGAGCGCCCTAAAAGTGCCAGGGTGTCCAGAACACAAGGTCAGAAAATAAAGGTATCTGCTTCTCGGCCTAAGGAGACTTGGTAGCAGAATGGATTGCGCATTGGCCTGCTAACAGGAAGCTTAGCAGTTAGAACTCACCCTCTGCCCCCTGAGGCTTTCTGCTCCCCTGAAGATTTACAATCTTAGAAACCCAAAGGGGGCATTTCTACTCAGTAACATGGGGTCACTGTGAGTTGGAATCGACTTGATGGCAGAGAATCCTGGTGTCATGATAGCACGTTCACAGACGTGGGGAGTCCAAGGGGTGGGAACAAGGGGAGGGGCTGCTTGGATTTGGGGCTCAATGTGGCTGACCCAGCTGCCTCGTCCCCTGCGTGGTTCACTCTGGCTTTAGGTCCTTGAGGAACAAGCAGATCCAGCCCCCTGAGCTCTGAGGGAGATGGTTAGGCACCCAGGAAGTGTGAATGCCATCAAAGTCTGGGGCTGGGGATCTGGGACTGGCAGGGCAGGCAAATCGAAGCGGCACATGGCAGCATTTAGATGGAAGTCCTTGGCAAACAGGATGCCACCAGGCTAACATTGGGCCCAGTGACACTCCGACTTCAGGGTGTCTTCCGATGCAGGAAAGGCTTCGGGAGTTGCTGTTTCTGAGTGGAGGATTCTCTCCATCCCTCCATCCTCCAAGGGGCTGGGGAGCTGGTGGGAAGGGCTGTCTCACAGCAAGGAGCAGGACGAGTGACGATGACAATCCCGCTGAAATGGCCTCAGTCCTGGAGGACAGAGAGAAGCCCCGTGTCCATCCTCTCCCAGCACAACATCAGCCAGCCCTCGGGTTCAAACTGCAAAAACCAGTCAGCAGGCACACCAGGAACAACAGCACACGCAGGACCGAGCTGTGCAGATCCTGCAGTGTCCACACCCACGCTTTCAACCAATTCCACCTGGATCGATGATCCACCCGAGGCTCTCCCATAGCCCAAGGGTCTGCTTGCCCGCCTTTGACTCTTCTCTGACCTGGGACCTCGCTGCAGACAAACAGCCTTAGTGCTGCTCGCTGGCGTCCTCTCTCATCCACTCCAACCCGAATTCATCTGCCTGACCACGCCCCCTCCACCCTTCCCACCTTCCCCACGCCCTCCTCCTCCCCAACCCGCCCCCACCCCTCAATCTGACCCTCACTCTCACTCTTCTTCTCCCCCACCCCACCCCACCCATCCCAGTCCCTCCCTGACTCACCACCGAGGCCCATCGACACAAACAAAAATTTCAGCACAACCCACTCCGACCGGTTTGGCCGAGTGTGCAGCCTGCCGTGGCGAAGGGGCCGAGGCTCTGAGCGGATGCTCGGACACAGGCTCGCACTCGCACACAGACACGTAGGGGCCCGGATGGTGACAGTGTGACAGCTGTTTGTGTCTCTCTCCAGCGGAGGCCAGGCAGGGACCCCGCTTCCCGAGAGCCGAGCACAGAGTGGTGCTCAGGAAATGTCTGGTGAACGCACGTACGTGAGCAGGTGTGCACGCAGGGCACCACGCACACAGGCGCACATGCGGGACACAGCACCTTGGCTGGAATCGTTCCCTTTCTTAGAGACCAGCATGCGGGCGGGAAGAGGGTAGGTAGTGAGGCATGAAGGGAATGGATACAGTGAGGAACGAAAGAACAGAATCTGGGAAACCAGGCACCGGCTTCGAGCGTCTTCCACATGCGTGTGGAAAAATCCCATGATCTTTTAATTCCACGTTTCCATGAACTTTTGGAAACCGCTGCGTATTTTCTCCCAGCTCTAGCCTTGGCTAGCCCCTGCCTGGACGTCATCCCTGGTAGTGTAGTGGGTAGTGGGTTGGGCACTGGACTGCTAACTGCAAGGTCAGCAGTTTGAAGCCACCAACTGCTCCTTGACAAAAAGGTGAGGCTTTCTACTCCTGTAAAGAGTTATAGCCTCAGAAATGCACAGGGACGGTTGGCCCCTGTCCCGAAGGCCAACTGTGAGTAGGAATCAACTCGGGGGCAGCCAGTTTAAGTGAGTTTTGAGGTTTCCCCCTAACAGAGGGGAGGAAAGCCCTTAGCATGCGGGCATATTCCCCACGAGCCTGACCCTGTGAGATACACAGGACTGGGGGAGCCAGTGGGCAGAGGGACTTGGAGGGAGAGGATGGGGAGGTGAGGGGAAGAGCCCTGTGTGGCTCTCGTGGGCCAGCAAGGTCCTCACCACCACGTCTAGGCTGCTTCTGCTGTTGACTGTGACCTGCGCATACCTGTAAACTATGTGAACTCCTCCTCTCAGAAGTCCCAGGTGGCTAGCGTTGAGGGTACCTGCCTGAGTGGCCCCAGCCAGGGGTTAAGAGACACAGTGGCAGCACTACAGGGAGGTGAGGCACTGAAAAGGCTCAAGGAGGTATAGGAACCAGATACTTACCTTGCGATCAAAATGCTTCCTACACCCCCCCCCCCCCTCAGTTTCTCCTGTGGTTCCTTGGCTCTAATTCACCGGGAGGGGGGAATCCGTGGGAAGGAAAGGAGCTCCTCTAGAGCCGTGCGATAGGATCCAAGGTGTAATAATTATAATTATAACACAGGATGCTCCCCCTCCCACTCCCCCCGGCCCTACCCCACCCCTGCCTCAGTGGATCTCAAAGCAGCATCGGGGCGGGGTGCCTTCCCTGGCACAGGTGTGAGCAGAGTCCTGAAGGGGAGAAGGGGGCCCACCGAGGCAGAAGTGGAGGGAAATGAGGCAGTTTGGGCACCCAGCCTGGCCCTTGGAGCCACTACCTGACCTGCTTGATACAGCCCCCAAAGAAGAGGTCACCTCCATGGTCCCTACTAAGACAGGGGCCATTGTCCAAGGACAGAATCAAAGTCAGGGGCACAGCCCATGTTCAGGATAGTAACTCAGGGTCTTTGCTTCACTGACCCTACCTCACCATTTTTCATACTGCCATTCCTTCATCCAGAAGCCCACACTCTCGGCACGACTGTCCCCACTTAGTGCCTGGGGATGCACAAATGAGCCCAGCCCTGCTTTCCAAGAGGTCACAAACTCTGGTTCTCATCCTGCCCCTCCATTTTAGCACAGTTATCGAATCCCTGGCACACAGCAGGCCTCAATCAATGTTTCTTGAATTGAAGCTTACAATTTAGTTAAGGAGATAAGATTGCACAAATTATGAGTGCACAAGCTATAATAAAGGGACTAGCGAAGGCTGAGGAAGAACAGAAGAGGGTGGGAGGAACTGAGAAGGCTTCATGGAAGAGGTGGCATTTGAGGCTAACCTTGGAAGATCAAGCAGGTTTCTGCAGGTGGAGTTGGTGGTGGGAAATATTCTAGAGGGAGTGCCCCTCCCAGCTGATTGTTTATGATTCCCTCCTCCTGCCTCTTTGCAGACAGACTTTTCCCCCCCTCCCCCTTCCTCCTTCTCCCATGCTTTTCTCTCCATGTATACTTTCTAGTCCAAGTCAGTAAGGGAACCCTGTGGCACAGTGGGTTCGAAGTTGGGCTGCAAACTGCAAGGTCTGCAGTTTGAAACCACTAGCCACTCCTCAGGGGAAAGAAGAGTCTTTCTGCTCCTGGAAAGAGTTACGGTTTCAGAAGCCCACAGGGGAAGTTCTGCTCTGTCTTATAGGTTCCCTGTGAGTCAACTCAATGGCATTAAAGAGCTCAAGTCTGTTCAACATGGTTTGCCCCTCCCCTTCACAGAGGTATCAGTGGGTTCGGAGTTACTTCCTGACTATTCCAGGCTGGTAAGATTTTGTGTAATTTGTTGGGCACAGTTTATGTGTCCAAAATGAACATACATGGTCTAATAAACATACTGGTACGAGTATATACCCAGTGCTAAGGAGTCCAGTCTAACTCATGGTGACCCTCTGGGACAGAGTAGGACAGTGCCCCACCCCACCCCCACCCGTGCCCTTTCCCCCCCATAGGGTTTCACACACTGTCAATCTTTACAGGAGAAATCTTTCTCCTGTACAGCCACTGGTGAGTTTGAACGCTACCCTTTTGATGAGCAGTTCAATGCTTATCCCAGAATCCAGACAGTCCTTGCAAATGCCAGGCATGTGGCCCTTGTCCAGAGACTGGGATAAACTGGCTATGGAGGTGATGGAAAAGAAATTGAAGCCTCATCTCCTTTCCCACTGGGGTGATGCTGCTGTACTTTGCAGACCCAGAAGTGGGATGGTGGACAGAGGCCCAGCTAGGAAGCCAGGCATTCCTTGTGGGGCTAATTCCTTGATAAGTCCCTTGGCTTCTCCTGCATGGGGTTGGGGTCAGGCGGGTTACTTAAGCTCCCTGCTTTAAGAACAGGTGTCTGCGCTCCTGGTTGTGTGTCCTCAGACCAAGTCCCTTCCCCTCTCGGGGCCTCTGTCTTCTCATCTGAAGGCTATGGGATGGGCCAGTACTCCTAGGACTCTCCTGGGTTCTGGGCTTCCCTGCTTGAGCTCCAAAGCTGGGACCCTCCAGGAGCTTGGGGACAAGGCCCCCAGGAGTCAGCGGGGCTGGCTGGAGTGTGGGATGCCAGGCTTCCTTTCCGCCCACAAGGACCTTGCCCTGTTCATCCTGGCCTGGTGCCTCCTCTTTGAGCCACCCTGGGCCTCTCCCCAGGCCTGGCCTCTCCCTTCTCAGCCCCTTCTAATCATTCTCAGGTAAAGCCCTAGCCTAGGAAAGGATCCCCCCCGCCCCCCAGGTCCTTTCCTCCCTCCTCCCTACCTGGCGCCCATTAGCTCGCCCAGGCCGTGGGGGCGGTGGCTGCTGAGTCTCCCTGCCAGGCCCAGCCCCCGAGACGCACCTGTTCTGACCTGCTGAGCAGGTTCCCAGGTTTCTGCCGGCGTTGTTGGCCACGGCGTGGGAAGCAGCTCTGGGGGATCTCGGAGCTCCCGATCACGGCTTCTTGGGGGTAGCCACGGCTGGGTGGGTAGAACAGGGCTGGGTCCCCTAGTGGAGACCCCAGTGGGACAGGCGGGTGGGTCAGTGCCTGGGACTCCGTGCCGTCCTGCCTGCCGGTGCCCTCTCCAACTCTAGAGGCGGCTCCCAGGGAGAACTCGGTGGAACTTCACAATCGCTTGGCAGGTCTGCCTTTCAACCAATGCCCCTGTCCCTGGGAGCCGAGATGTGGGGGCCTGAGGCCTGGCTGCTGCTGCTGCTCCTGGCATCGCTAACAGGTAAGGACTGCCTGGGCCATCAGGATTCTTGCTTGGAGCCCAACTTAGAGCACCCTCAGCACAACCGCACAGACGCACAGGCACACACGCACATGTTCTCTTTCCTTTGACTCTGAGCTGGGGAGCCAATCTCTCTCTTCCACCGCCACCTGCCAGTGTGGCTCTTTCATGCCCCTTACTTGCCCCCTTCCACCCCCTGCCAGGGCAGCTGCTGCATCTGGGATCCCTACCTCTTGCCTAGGCCTGGCCTACCTTTGGGGGAGAAGATATGGTGGTCCAGAACAGGTGGGCAGGGAAATGGGACTAGGGGGGACCTTGTTCACCCCACGGTTTCCTAGCAGTTCCCTCAGCCGGACCCTGGGCTTGAGAGGAGCTGACTGGCACTGTGCTGACTCAGGGCTGAGCTGGCCTCGGTAGTCATGGGGTGTAAGAAGTAAGATGCCCAGAGAATAGACAGACGGGGCAATTCTATCCCCGTCTCCCCTCAGCCTGATGGTCTAGAAGGACATCAGGACTAAGGCACTGGCTTGGAGCGGTTGTCCCCTATCCCTAGGCATGCTATTAGGGTGGTAATGAGGGGGTTATTGAGGTGAGTAGGTGGCCTAGTGGGGAGCCATGGTGGAATGGTGGTTACATGTTGGGCTGCTAACTGCAAGGTCAGCAGTTTGAAACTGCCAGCTGCTTCTCAGGAGAAAGATGAGGCTAGCTGCTCCTGTAAAGAGTTATAGTTTTGGAAACCCACAGAGTGCGGGTGGGGGGGCAGTTCTACCCTGTCCCATAGGGTGGCTGTGAGTCAGAATCAACTCCATGGCAGGGAGTTTGGGGAGGGGTCTAGGGCCGGGTAACTACTAGGGACCTTTTGTTCTCTTTGACACCATCTCCCCACTACAAACAAACACACTTACTGCCAGCAAGGAGATCCTGACTCATAGTGACTCTATAGAATAGAGCAGAAATGCCCCGTCGGGGTTCCAAGCGTGTGCATTTTTACAGTGTGCCCATGCAGCAGGTGCTGGGGTTGAATTGCCAACCTTTGGATTGGTGGTCCATCGCTTTAACCGTGGCACCACCAGGGCTCCTAATGTATATCTAGCAAAGATAGGTGCTAGGACTGAATTAGCGTGAGTGTGGTGGTGGTGGGGGCCGTATGTGTTCCCGTGCGTGAGTGCGTGCTCACTGAGACCACTGTGGCGTCCTCTGGGCTGTTGGCAGGGTAATGAGTAACTGAGAGAGCTTTCTCCTCTAGCTGGGGAGACAGGGTGGTTACTGTCTGGGTGGGATGGGGGGATGCCTGGCTCAGCCTACTGCAAGGAAACCTCAGTTATCCCCAGGGCCTTGCAGTGGCTCCCAGCCACTCCCACCTCTTCTGCTGCCCACCCTACCTCCCCAGAGGAGAGCCTGGCCTCTGATCCAGCCTCCAATCAGAGCGTACTGTACTCCAAACTCCTCCACCCCAATGTCTTTGTTCCCACCTTCTAGACATCCCTTCTCCCTTATATGGGCCAAGAGGTGGGGGCTGGTTGTGGTGGGCCCAGCTCCCGGGGCCAGGGATCCCACTCCTATAGAATGGAGCCACGGTGCCTCCAGACTTGGAAGGGATCAAGGAGATCACCACCCCAACCCCCTTTTTCTACAGGTGGGAATGTCCGAGGAAATTGACAGGAAAGTGACACCCGTGGGCTGACACTCAGTGTCAGCAGCACGGTCAGGCTTCATTAAGGACTGGCACGATGGAGCGCACACTGGGTGTGGCGGGGTGCTAGATGCTGGCCGGGCTATTGCGAAGAAGAGACAGCGTCTACCACACACTGAGCGATTCCTTCTCAGAGAAACCCAGGGAAGGGGAGAGAGAACTGCCTTTTTATTTGGGACCTGCCTAGAACTCATCCACTCCCTGACTGAGGGGCTGTGGGCAGGGAGGGAGGTAGCCTGGCTCCAGGCCTGCCCCAGGACGCTGGGCCTGGAGAGCATGCTCTCTGCTGTGCTGTCCTAAGCGTCACAGAGCTGGAGGTGCGCATGTCTGAGGGCGTCGGCTTCGACCTGTTTGTGAACTAGAGCACCGGACGGTCTCACTTAAACGGTCCCTCCCTCTGCCCCCATTCTGGTTCCTCTGGGTGTGGGGACCTCTGCAGTGGTCCCCAGGCAGCTGGGGGGTCTGTGCCTCTGAGAAACCAGAACTCAGGAGTCCTGGGGTCGGGCCCCATTTCTGGGGTCAGTCTGCTAGATAGCCTTGGGCAAACATGAAAGGAGGCTTCGGGAGACCTACACAAGGGCTGTTGGCTTTCCAGCTTTGCCATTCTGTGGCTCGGTGGTTGTCTGGCTCCTGGCTGAATCGGGGTGCTAGGGCTCGAGAAAGGATGGTTTATGGCTATGGAGAAAGAAGGGGGTCCTGGCACCATCTCCCAGTGGGGAGAGAGGATAGCTCTGTACCCAAGGGGCTCCTTGGGTAGTTTTCCTGGCTCAATTTGGAATCTCCCCCTACCCCCCACCCCAACTTCTGGGCCATTAGGAGCTCTGAGCCCCAGGGCCCTGCCCCACCCCTGACAGGGAGAGGAGCCCAGGCTTGGGAGGTGCCTCACACCAGGGCTCTTTGTCTCTTCTTAATGGGATGAGTTTTCAGGTGAGGTCTCCGCCCCTTTCCCTCCCCCATCTCCTGCCCTAGGGCCATGGGGCCTAAATCAATGAGATGCCCCTTCACTGGGGTCTTGGTCCTTGGTTCATCAGAGAACAAGGGGTTCTGGATTCTACGCTCTGCCTAGGAGCATTAGGATCAGCTTTCTGACAGGTTCATTTCCTAGAAAGGGAGGGGCCCTGTCGATGCTTTTCTACTCCTGTTTATAGAGGGGGGCAAGCCCTTTCCTGTAGGAATTACCCCAACCCAAGGAAGCCAGAAAGGGAGGCTACCATCAATGCCCAAGGTGGGAAGGACTGGGAGAATCCCAGGGAAGCCCTCTGGCCCCAGTGACCTTGGTCCCACCCTGGGACTTCAGGGGGCAAGAGAAAGGGGTCCCCAGCCACAGGGCTGGAGGCAAGGGGCTCCTAGTAGAATCTGTGTCCCATCTTCTCAATCACCGTTGCAAGATCTGGGCTCTGCAGGCACGGTGAATGCGGTCAGATATGTGGGGAGCAAGCCCACTGAGGAGAGAATGTCCAGGCGGTTCCATGGGTTGGGGGAGCTGAGGTCGGGTCTGGATGTTGACCAGGTTCTCAGCTAGGAGGGGCGTGCAGAGCTGGAGGAAGCTGTGGAGGTGGCGGTCACTCTCCATGGCTCAGGAAGCCTCTGGCTTTCATGGTCCTGTGAGTGAGCCTTTTGCCCCCAAACCTGGCTGTGTCCTGAGAGCTGGATTCAGGCTGTGATTTGGGGTGGGAATGAACTGGCCACAGAGTGTGTGTGTGTGTGTGTGTGTGTGGTGGTGGGGGATGCTGCAGGACGGAGGAGTGCTGGTCGTGGTGGTAGGATCTCAGGAGGTTGGGAGAAGGTGAATTCTGGTTCTCCCACCCACAGTGTTGCTGTTGTGGTGACTCAGCCCAGCTCAGACTCTGGCTCCGGGGGGGTTTAGGGGACTTATCTGTGCTGGGAGTTGTGTCTGGGCCAGAGCCGGGGCTGCCTCAGGCCTGTCCTCCCCCATTGTTCTGTTTTCCCTTTGTGATTGGTATGGCCCCCCTCCCCAGGCAGAAATCTGCTGGTGGGCGCTTTGCCCAGGTTGGGAAGCTCTCACTAAGCTGGGGGGCTTAGAACAATGGCGGGTAAGTAAGGATGGGTGAAGGCAGGGGGAGAAACCCTGGCTTTCAAGGCTCCTTAGCACTTCAAGGTCAAGGTTAAGGGGGGAGGATGCTGGGCTGACCCTGTCCTCCCACAGGACGGCACTGCTCCCATCCCATGCCCTCCGTGACCTCCGACTCCCTGCACACTCTCAGCATGAAGGGCGGGAAGAGTTAACAGCAGGACAAGACCCTAGACAGGGTGGACCCCTCCCCCTAGCTCCAGGCAGAATCCCCCCTCCCACCCAACCCACACCAGACAACCCTCACCCCAGGCCTGGATCTGGAGCTGGTTTTTCTGGTGGTGGCAGCAGCAGAGGCCCTGAGAGATTCCCAGGGAGAGGCCTCCTTGGGGGGCCAGAGTGCTGGGGGGCCCAGGGGAGTGGCTGATGAGGGGGGTGGGGGTGGGCAAGAGTGGGAAACCTCTTGCAGGAACCTGAAGGGCAAGGGCAGAGAGAGCCTTTGTTTTGTTCTGTTGGGGAGCCCTCGATGACAATTTCCCATCACCTGGAGGGGCAGTGACCTCATCTCTGGGTACCTCCACCTGGGGCCCGAGATGACTGCCCTCAAGTCCCGAAGTGAGGTGGGGAGGGATGCCTGCCGGCCCTCCAGGCAAAGGCACCGAGCCACACTCCACTGACCAGGGCAGCCCAGACAGAGACATGCCGAAGCCAAGGGAAACCGACATCAAAATATTTACTATGTGTGCGGAGTTCCGCGAGCCAGGAACACCCGCCAGGATCCCAGACGGTGCGAGCGCCGCTCGAAACGGTGTGCGCACGCGTTCCAGGAGACACCAGCACACAGTCCTTCTCTCCGCACACGGCCAAGAGCATGTGTTCTCCTGAGAGAAGCCACGCGCACCCATATGTGCAGCAAC